ATCAGTAATTGTAACAACACGGGGATCATAGACTTCTGCCCCCGTTCGCTAAAAAGCAAGGTATTTTTTATTAACTCGGCAGTAGATTTTTCTTGCATTTCTCCTCGTCTACACACCAGGAAGATTGGATATTCGTTGTAAAAATAAAATCTAGAGCACCCCTGATTGAATTCCAATGAACAAAGAACAACATTTTGTACGTCGATGGAGAATGTTTTCCTCTGCAGGTGCGCTGTGCATTTCTACCTAGTATTGCAGCTTATCGAGGTGATTTTTTTTAACGGAATATTCCATCGACGTACAAAGGATACGATTTCGAAATGTCTTCGGTATTGTGTCTTGTCTTTCAATTTTTCTGCTCGCACGGTAACTTAGCTATTGTCTGCTTTATTATACTCCACACTAACATTTATATTCATTTTTGTTTAACACGTTTATTTAAATTACTATTTATTGTTTAATACTGGGTTATCGGTTAAAAATATTGATTCTTTTGCGCGACTCCACTTTTTACCGAGGCCTGACAAACTCTCCCAGCTGCCAGCAATACACAACGGTTGATTGTCCCACCTAACAACTGATTGTTTCGATTTTGAGAGGATTTCGCCATTTCATAGGTTTTTGCGATTAATGAATTGAAAATTGAAAAATTTTACCTTTCTCATGGAGCCTACATTACGTAATGTGAATATTCTTATCGAATATAACCCGTTATATAAGTATAGTAGAAACAAAACACACATATGTCATTTCAAAAAACATTAAAAAGATAGGATTTGAAATCGGAGCAAATTCGCACATAAGATACTCTTGAGACACCTTGTATTACAGAAACTCCAATTCACCGTTTTCCTCTAGACCAGTCTTTCTCAAAGTGGGCGATAACGCCCCCTTGTGGGCTCTGGAGGCTAATAGGGGGGCAGTAAAGGGCATAGAGAAGATGGAGAGGCATTGAAGCGGTTTAGGGGGACGATGGCTAATTTAAAAATGTTGTTTTGCTTTAAACACAAACTTTACCGTTTGTGCTTAACGCGCGTTTCCTCGTGTAACGCCATCTAGGGGACTAGACAGTAACTATTTCCTGTCCGATAGTTGTCAAACTATACAATAGATGGCGGTAAGCTTCAATGCGAAGCGAGAAGTTTCTAGTCTCCATTCTCGGAAGTACTAGGCCCGCCCGCTGCCTCATATAAAAGCGCGAGCGCCATCCAGCCAGTAATGTCATTCGACGATATTACGAATACAGGTGAATTTAGTTAGCGACTAGCTAGGTGAAGTGCTATACGTGCGGTGGTGAATACTGTGAGTGGTTTCATTAGCAAGTTTTTGAAAATCGATTCTTTACTTCGGCATTTTTTAAAACAAAATTATGTCGGAAGCAAAAAAGAAGAAACGGTGGTATAGCGCGGAATATATAAAATATGGATTTATTGAAAATTCCACAAATCCATCTTGGCCTATGTGCCTTCTTTGTCAAAAAACATTTTCGAATGAAGCGATGAAACGCTCAAGGCTACAAGATCATTTGAATTGAATGCATTAAGATAAAAAAGACAAAAGTGTGATTTATTTTCAAGAACTGGAAAAGAAACATTGTTGTCGTACGTGAGGTTTATTAAAAATGAGAAAATATATCAAGAACTACTATTTGCCAGAAATTTAGAGACGGATACAAAAGGAGGAACCATACACTGGAAAAATGTTGTGATGAGAAAGAAATTCCACTGAAATAACTGTCTTACAATCTATTTGACTCTGTAATAGAGAAAACAAAGATATAGAATTACACGACAACCTCATCACTTCAAAGAATGATATTGCGTATTTGACAGACCTGTATAAACTATTTAATGATGTCAATCTCCAACTTCAACTACAACGACTTGAATTTGCTGCTTTTCTAGCCAGATTGCTCTTATACAAGAATAATATCTGCAGACGTGAGTTTTGCAATTTCCCTAATTTGTCAGCAGTATCCTTCAACAACGACGACGTGCTTGTTTACTGCCAACATTTGGAGAACCTCCACAGTGACTTCGCAGAACGATTTCAAACGTTACACATTGGAATTGAGTCCCTACAAAAAAATTGCAGAAAATGCCACAAGAAGCAATAACCTAAACTTGTGTGAATCTGGTAGCAGGTGACTAAAAGGTCCTCAGTTTCTTGAACTTGAAGAAGACAGATGGCCGTCTCAAAATGACCAAAAGTCTCTGGATACATTAGAAGTGAAGCAAATCAATTCAGATCTGAAACAGGTTTTATCAAATATGAGGAGATTTTGGTCATGGTTGAAGTTACTTCGAGCAACAGCTTGGATGTTGAGATTTGCCCATAAATCATCGAACAATGCAGAACTTGCATAACTGGCGTATTTTTCAGAATACATTAATTCACTACGAAACGGAAGAACAGTTGATTCATCTAGCAGAATATATAAACTTTCGCCAATTTTAGATGCTGAAGGAGTTTTGAGGTTGGAAAGCAGAGTAGTATACTCTAACGATTTAGGCACAGACACGAAATTTCCAATTATAATAGACCCCAAAACTATCTCACCAAGTTGCTAATTTTTCATTACCACTGCAAAGCAGCGCATAATGGCCAAGAGTATGTGGTGAATGAGCTTCGACAGCGATATTGGATTCTCAATATTAGGTCCGCCGTAAGAAGTTCTTGGAGCTACTGTCAGTGGTGCAAAAATAAAAGAGCTCAGCAAGTAATTCAAGAAATGGCACCCCCTACCGAGTCCTCGTTCAACTTCTTTTGTCAGACCTTTCACCATAGTAGGTATGGATTAGTTTGGACCAACGCAGGTGTCAAATGGTCGCCAACGATAGAAGAGATACGAGGTACTTTTCCCTTGCATGAGTACTCGTGCAGTCCATCTGAAAATTGCTCAGTCATTAAGTACCGACTCAGCTATAATGGCAATAAGAAGACTCATCGGACGCCGAGGGTGTTCTAAAAAAGAATGTCTGACAATGGGATAAATTTAAGAGGTGCCGATAAAGAACTTAGAAAGTCTCTTGAAGACTTTGATCCAAATCAAATCACTTCTGAACTGACCACCGACAGTATAGAGTTTTACTTTACTCCACCCTCTGCTTCACACATGGAAGGCAGTTGGGAGAGACTCATCAAGTCAATTAAAACAACTCTATGGGACCTTTCGAAGGAGAAGATACCACGAGAAGAAGTTCTTCACACATTGCTCGTAGAAGCTGAACATATTGTGAACAGCCGTCCCCTCATCCATGTATCATTGGATCATTCAGATGCTGAAGCTTTAACACCAAACCATTTTTTATTGAGTACTTTAAGTGTAGCACAAGTTGTAGGAAAGTTTCAAGCAAATGACTTGTTCACAAGGAAACAATGGCGAAAATCTCTATTGCTCGCTGAACATTTCAGGCGCCGTTGGATCAAAGAATATTTGTCGGTATCAACCAGAACAACAAAATGGTGCATCACCCACAAGGTGGAGACATGGTGATTAAAGTCGGCAGCCAGTTCTTGAGAAATACTTGGCCCAAAGGTGTAGTTACTGCAACATATCCAGGTGCAGATGGCAATGTACAAGTGGTCAATGTAAAAATGAATATTGGTACATACAGAAGACCTGTTACCAAACTTTGTCTTCTAGATGTTGATAAACATGAAGAATAGTGATGAATAAGATTTCATCAGTGGGAGGGAGTGTTCCTGAGGAAGTTTAATTGTTATTTTTCTATCTTGTTCATTTAATTTTATAGTATGTTTGTGTCAATGTTACTGTTTAACCCTGTATAAAAGACAATTGAGAGTGTAATTTGTAAGTAATAGTTAAAACTATATAACATGTATAATAGGCCAATATTACAGTTATCAATAACATTGTTTATTTATCAAAAAAATCATATTCGAATCGCCAGGTTGAATTAGTGAATCTTTATGTTTAAATTAGTGCTGCCATTCTGGTGAGAATCGAAACCAGTTGATGTAATTCAACGATTTAGAAAGAAAATATAGATATATTATCCAATCATTCAAAAAATTAAATCACAAAAATGCAAGCATAAATATACAGGGTGTCCAGTAATCAGTGGATAATAAAAAACTATAGCTTGGTCTATCCTTGCCTCGCTTATGAAAAACAATTCAAAATAGTTTTTGGAAAAGTTTCCAATGTCTTCAATTTGACCCCCCTCTTCGCCCCAAATTTCAATAGTTCTATTATCTATTTCCTTTCAACAAATTGTCCTATGTTTCCGGGTTTATTAGCTGTGGTCTGCAGGGTTTTATACTTGCAGTACAAGAATTGCATATACTTATGAGATTTTTGAGTGACTTCAGCAGGAAACAATTGCAAAGATTCAGATCTGGAGATTCTGGTGGTCAATCAATCGGGTGTAGGCCGCCGATTCATCATCTGGATAATTTAAATTCAAATATTTGCTTGAGTTTTCTGCAAAATATGCTGGGCATCCATTATTTTGTGGTCCAGCCTTTGTCGTATCTATGGAGGTGCTTTGAAAGGTAGGTGAGACGTGATTAAAAAAAACTTTATGAAAACGTCTGGGATTTGTAAAAGACACGATCATTTCGAACATCCATTGTGATTATTAAAAATCCTCATGAAACATTGATATACAGATGACTATGATTCATTTGTATTTTCATTTGAATATCGAGAATCTTCGAAAATTCAATAACAATCAGTCACAGTCTGATAGCAATATCTGAAATTCTATAAAAAAATACCATTCGAGAATCTGTATTAAGCAAGTGACTTTTGAAAGCACAATATCATATCCTCCTTACATTTATATTTCACCATGAATGGTTGAAGTTTGAATTCGAAAATCAATTCCAAAAATTATTTGAAGTGAATCAGTGACCAATCAAATATAGTCATCGAATTGAACTAAAACTTGTAAAAATGGTATGGAAGCATTATTTAGATATTTAATGAAGTATTTTTTTTAAGAATTGGGCATAGGTATAAAAATGAACTGGAAATGAAAAATACTGAGAGGATTCCAGAACAATTGAGAAGCAAACCAACAGATTTCTGTGATCAGGCGAGATCTTTCCAATATTTGAAGTCATTGAAATCCATCAAAGGTTTCAAATCCCCATCGACCCCCAGACCATTACCAACCCCCAAACAACTTCGACCGCGTCACTAATTCAACCCATTAGAAACTTTGTCGTTTTGACCCTGTTTTCTCGAAAATATTGCTGACAGCTTGAGAGCCCACGCGAGGTAACGTTTCGAAAGTGGCGTCTTCAACCATCATCAGACACTGTCCACGGACGCGAAACGTTCACCTAATTCTTCGCAAAAGTGAATCGGGGGCTGACGTGAAGTCCCTGGGACGGCTGGGACGTGGAGCGAGCGTCGTAGATCCCTTCTTCGACGCCTCCTTCTCTTTCTGTGACAGATGATGCAGAGGAGGACTAACGTGAGCAAAATGGCGGCGACGGCGATCACCCACGAGGTTCGGATGTGCTCTCGAGGTTGTTCGTCTGTGGTGCCTGCAAGAATATTGTGTCGTGGTTTTGTGTCATTCTGAAATGATTCGTTATGATTTTACGGTGTATATCAATGTGGATGGACGCCACTGATACATTTCTATGACATGCTTCAAAATTATATTCTGTATAGAGATGGAAAACTTGACATATGTGTTTGGGGTGTCATAATTTAGGCTGTTCCAAAATTTTTTCCGATTTTATGAGTCAAATTCAAATTGTGATATCTCAGGGAATTTTTTACTAGTTCGGACTCCCATTGTTTGATATGATTCTGATTCGAGATCTACGAAAGAACAAATAAAATGAGAATGAATAGCTCAAAATATCAATTACATTAAGCAATAAACTGTGAAAGTGAAAATTGAAAGATTAAAAATATTTGAAATGGAAATTATTATATCTTTAAATATGAAAAAATAAGAAAAACCAAAAAATCAATAGAAAAATATAAAAAAATCAATAAATAGACTTTGTGCATTTT